CACACACGCACACGCACACACACCTACACACACACACACAACACCCAACACCACACCATACGCACACGCACACGTCACACACACACACACACACACACAAACACACACACACACATACACATACACCTACACATACACATACACACGACACACACACACAACACAGCACACACAACACACACACATCACATACACATACACATACACATAACACATACACATACACAACACATACACAACACATAAACACAACAACAACACATACACATACACTACACACACTCACACACACACACATAGACACACCCGGCGCGCAAGGCTCAACGCGCACCGCACACCACGACGCGAACATCGCACGCGACACGCAGCACGCGCACCACTACCGCACATCACACACAACAACCCACCTCACGACGCCACACGCACACGCAACCACAACACAGCACACACACACACACACACACACACAACACACCCGCACGCGCGCAACAACGCACAATCAGCGCACGCCACGCAACACGACAACACACAACACACCACACCACACGCAGCACGCACACACACACACAACGCACACGCACACGCACACACACACCCCCGCACACTCACGCACACTCATGCGCACACGCGCACGCACATACACACACACACGCACACGCACGCGCACACGCGCACACACACACACACACACACACGCGGATGCACATACACACACACGCACACGCACGCGCACACGCGCACGCACATACACACGCAAACCCGTTGTCAGAAACATCACATGTAGTAAAATGTCACTATTATGAATTACAATAATAATGATATTAATATACATTATAGCATAGTATATATAGATATATAGATATATAATAAATTATGTCGTAACTTTAGCCGGAACCTACAGATGTTATGACATTTTCGACATTTACAGCTAGTTATAATGTTTCTGATCACCGATCGAATGTTCTGTAAGTAAGTAAGTAAGTAAGTAAAAACTTTATTTAACGACGGTAAAACATGTTAGGTACAGACACAATAAATTGGCGCGGACCTATCTTCCACATGGCCGTCTCAATTCTGTGCCTCCGACTAGAATAGATTCACTGACGGATATTGCATCCTTCCTTCTGGCTTTCTCTGCAATTCTATTCAGTTAGTTAGCATTGAGTCAGGAGCGCGCGTGCTACTCGCTCACCGCTCTTATTCAACGTTGATTGCTCTATTGATTTATTTCGATCTCGTTAGCTTTTAGATGATGTTTTTACTATTAATGGACTTACCGTGAAAGGTCTCCGAAGTAATGGACTTTTTTACGATATCGCGACTTAATGATTAGAAAGCAGCAATGACCTAATCGGTGAACGAACTAAGTATGTTGCGTGTCGTGTCTAAACTAAATTCGCATCTGTTGCTAAAACGCACTACACCGAAATCCGTCTTTAAACCGACGATCATGGGAACGCGCAAACACGAGCAAAACACCGTAACCCTATAGTTATACTAGTAGAAATTTCCGCACGCGAATGAACAGGAAAACGATTGCAATTCGTCATTGCAAAGCTCGCGCGCTCAAAGCATTTCGTTCGCTTAACAGCAACTGGCTAATATTAATTTTTTTTTAAATCTTAAGCTTCAATCTTATTTCCTAACATTCTAAAAAGGTTCACAAAGTGCAGTCGCTGCTGTAAACCGCCGGATTTGAACAAGGATTTGTCGTGTTTTTTTGGTTAGCAGAGTAGTTCTAAAGGTGAAACGTCAATGGCTGCGGTCGCGTCGTTGGCGCTGGTGAACGACGATACACTACGGTGGGCGACGATACACTACGGTGGGCGACGATACACTACGGTGGGCGACGATACACTACGGTGAGCGACGATACACTACGGTGAGCGACGATACACTACGGTGAGCGACGATACACTACGGTGAGCGACG